CTCGCCGTGCAAGGTCAGGGTGCCGCTGCGGCCAGACCAGCGTCGCCCCTGCCTGCCTCGCGCACTACGCTCTCGACGCTTTTATTGTGACGGGCCTTCTACTTGGGGCTTTTCCTTTTACGAGGACAATTTGGCCGGGGAGAGAACCTGGGGGAGATGACCTGAAGGCGGGGGGTGGGGGGGGGGCGCTGTCGGGCGTGCGGGAGGGGGAGGGGGTGGTTGGGGAAGGGAGGAGGAGGTACGAGAGGAAGAAAGGGAGCAGAGAAGAATGGATGGGATAGGGAGAGAGAAGACAAATGGACGGGGAATGTGGGAAAAGAAGCGTGGAAAGGAAAGTTGGGAAGGGTGGAGGGGGGGCGGGGAAGAAGTGTGGGAGAAAGGGTGGTAAGGAGAATGCAAGGGATAGGGAGAGAATTGAAGAATGGATGGGGATTGTACGAACAGAAGTGTGGAATGGATAGACGGGAAGAGGAAAGTGTGGAAGGGATAAGGGCACAGGAAGAAAGAACAGAAAGAGATAGGAGAAGAGAAGAAGACGGGAACGGAAAAGGGGGAAGGGGCAAGTTAATTGTTCCAAGTGAGGACAAGAAAGAGTGAAGATTTCGAGACGGGGAAGGCGGCCGGAGACAGAATACCAGGGAGGGGAAGAGGAGGAAGAGATTGGAAAAGTATTTGTTTCTTGCTCCCTGTGTTGTTGGGCTAACGGAGACCGAGAGGGAACAGTAAAGGGAGAGCTAGCCTTTTTATTTCTGCCTTTTGTTTATTTTATTTATCCGTTTTTTTGTGGGTTTTTTTACCGCCAAACGAGACCAAAGCAAAAAGAGAGAGGAGTGGAAATAGAATGGAAACAGAAAGATGACGGGAAGGAATAAAGGAGGACGGGAGGAAGAGAGAGAGAAAAAAATAAGAGAGAAAGAAAGAGCAGAGGGAGAAAAAGTCAAAATTTCGGGAAGAACGTTGAGGTTGAAACAATATAGGAAAGAAAAAGAGAAAAAGAAAGAGACAACAAAATTCAGCCAACCAATACAAGTTCGCATCGTTGTATACTATAGTCATAAACCTAACAAACTGGCAGAGAGAGAGACAGGAACAGAAGTGTGGAATGGATAGACGGGAAGAGGAAAGTGTGGAAGGGATAAGGGCACAGGAAGAAAGAACAGAAAGAGATAGGAGAAGAGAAGAAGACGGGAACGGAAAAGGGGGAAGGGGCAAGTTAATTGTTCCAAGTGAGGACAAGAAAGAGTGAAGATTTCGAGACGGGGAAGGCGGCCGGAGACAGAATACCAGGGAGGGGAAGAGGAGGAAGAGATTGGAAAAGTATTTGTTTCTTGCTCCCTGTGTTGTTGGGCTAACGGAGACCGAGAGGGAACAGTAAAGGGAGAGCTAGCCTTTTTATTTCTGCCTTTTGTTTATTTTATTTATCCGTTTTTTTGTGTTTTTTTTACCGCCAACGAGACCAAAGCAAAAAGAGAGAGGAGTGGAAATAGAATGGAAACAGAAAGATGACGGGAAGGAATAAAGGAGGACGGGAGGAAGAGAGAGAGAAAAAAATAAGAGAGAAAGAAAGAGCAGAGGGAGAAAAAGTCAAAATTTCTGGAAGAACGTTGAGGTTGAAACAATATAGGAAAGAAAAAAGAGAAAAAGAAAGAGACAACAAAATTCAGCCAACCAATACAAGTTCGCATCGTTGTATACTATAGTCATAAACCTAACAAACTGGCAGAGAGAGAGACAGGCAGACAGACAGACAGACAGACAGAGAAAGAGAGAGACAGACAGACAGAGAAACAGAGACAGACAGACAGAGAAACAGAGAGAGACAGAGAAACAAAGAGAAACAGAGACAGACAGACAGAGAAAGAGAGACAGAGAAACACACACGCGCGCGCACGCACAGAGAGAAAGAGAGGGGGGGGGGGCGGGAAACCGAAAGAGAGAAAAAAAATGACATAAAACCCAGTAAAGAGGAAGGGCCGAGATGCTGTAGAATATTAAGTCATGTTATGGCGAGATAATCGAGAAAGAACCTGGTATTAAAGGACCTGAGGAAAATGAAGCCAGTTCTTTTTTAAGTGAATGAGAGAGAGAGAGAGAGAGAGGTCTTGGGAGAGTGGATTAGCGAAATATGTTACATGTTGAGGAGTGTATGTATGTGTGTGTGTGTGTGTGTGTGTGTGTGTGTGTGTGTGTGTGTGAATGTGTGTGAGTGAGTAAGAGAGAGAGAGAGAGAGAGAGAGAGAGAGAGAGAGAGAGAGAGAGAGAGAGAGAGAGAGAGAGAGAGAGAGAGAGGTCTTGGGAGAGTGGATTAGAGAAATATGTTATATGTTGAGGTGTGCGTGTGTATGTGTGTGTGTGTGTGTGTGTGTGTGTGAGTGAGAGAGAGAGAGAGAGAGAGAGAGAGAGAGAGAGAGAGAGAGAGAGAAAGAAAGAAAGAGAGAGGAGGGAGGCGAAAATAAAAGACTATTGGAAACTCAGAAATCGGACGGCACGAAATCCATTT